CCCCAGAGAGTCTGGCATCTTCAGTGATTTTTCTTTGCCCTGCCAGGTACATGAAACCAGGTTGATCAACAAAGAAATCCCTCCCTGCCTCAGAGCTCTCTATTCTTTTTCTTCTCCTTGGGTTTAAGACAGTTTCACTGTTTAGCCCTGCCAAGAGTTTTCTGCTCTTTACTCTAGGGGTCAGGAGATGACAGTGAGGACTATGGGTCTGTTGGGGACAGTAAGACATTATCTGTAATTTAGGGAACTTTAAGACAAAGTTTCTGTGTGGAGTGGGTTTCCTCAGGCCTGGAACCAGGGGAGCAGGGTTCTGACACAGGAACCAGATCTGCTGACACTGATAGCTAAGCTTCTGACTTCTCCCACTGCTCTGGTAAATTGAATAAGCTTGGAGCCCCTGCTGTCTATTCTGTAAGGTAGGGGAAACAGTTTCTAGCAGATAGATTATGATGATTAAATGCAACCGTACTGAGGAAGATCCCAAGCCAGGTGTGGTGGCTCATGCCTATAATCTCAGCTCTCCAAGGCTGAGAGACAGGGCTGGCTTCAGTCCAAGGCTAGTTTGAGCTCTATAGTGAAAACCAAGCCACCCTAGGTTATGGTAAGACCCCATCTCAAAACACCAAGAGTCAAGCCAACAAACAAAAAAAGCAAAGACCCAGCGGATGGCTGGATCTCGGTGGATGGCAGCTGGGGTTTACAAGCCTTGGAGTGGAGGAACAGGCAGCTGAGCGTGGAAAAGAAAATGAAACAAAGCAAGGCCTCTCAGGAATCTTCATAGCCAACGAAGGCCAGAAACAGGGGTGTCCCCTAATCCGTGATTCTTTCATGAGGGGCTCTGACCTGGAGGCTGGGCTGGGCTTGTTCTCTCCTGTCAGGCAGCCAGCAGTGGAGACCTAAACATGCCGATTGTCCAGGGGAAGGCATCCTGGTGGAGCTAGAACAGCCACGGAGATGAGAAAGCTAAGTCAGATGTGGTGAAGGGTAAACACTTTATAATCCTATAGTCCCAGCACTTGGGAGGCTAAGGCAGGAGAATGGTGTGCTAGAGTCCAGCCTGGAAAGATGGCTCAGAGGGTAAGAGCAGTAACTGCTCTTTCTGTGAATTTCAGTTCATTCCCAGAACCCGTGTCAGGTTGCTCACCACTGCCTGTAACTCCAGCTCCCGGGGATCCCACCCCCCTGTCCTCCAAGAGCACCTGTGCTCATGTGTGAATGAGCGCGCGCGCGCGCGCGCGCGCACACACACACACACACACACACACACACTAAAAGATAATAAAATAGCCAGCTAGGGTGGTATTACCTTCAATGCCAACACTCAGAAAGCAGTGGCAACAGGATCTTTGTGAGTTTGAGGCCAACCTGGTCTACAGAGTGAGTTCCAAGACAGACAAGACTACATAGATCCTGTCTCAAAAACAAAACAAGGCCGGGCGTTGGTGGCACACGCCTTTAATCCCAGCACTCGGGAGGCAGAGGCAGGCGGATCTCTGTGAGTTCGAGGCCAGCCTGGTCTACAAGAGCTAGTTCCAGGACAGCCTCCAAAGTCACAGAGAAACCCTGTCTCAAAAAACCAAAACCAAAACAAAACAAAAAACAAGTGGAAAGAAAAGCAAGAGATGGGTAGGGGGGAAGGAAGGGAAGAGGGAGAGGTGGAAGGGGGCAATAAAGAAATAACACCATTAAACCAAATGCCCCAGGGTTGGGATTCAGATACTAAATTCCTGGCTGCTTCTACACCAACTCTGGGACCAGGATCCAGTTTCTTAGCCTTAGGGGTCCCAGACACTGAAGGATGCCTTGGGGCCTTCTGAATCAAGACACAGGACTGGAGAGAAAGCCAGGACTTGCTACACCTCCAGTGTCTTTCAAGGTAGGCTGAGCTTCAAGACTGGGAGGGCAGGGGAACACTGTGGCCCAGAGTCCCCCAGGAGAAATTGCAGCCTCCCTCTGTCTCCCTCTGGGTAAAAGCTTCTTGTGCCTCCGGAGACCGAGGGGGAAAGCAGGAAGCCTATGGTACATGTTCAACAGAAGTGGCTGTTGGCACTGCTGGTGTCAAGGGTCTCTTGGGAAATCTTCGGTGCTCTCAGACCCTGTGAAAGTCTGAGTAGGATTAGGGAATTTGGGAGTTCTGGGCTTCACATGGGTCCCAAGAGCTAGAGAGAACTGAAAGTTGTCTTCCCTGTCCCTGTGTGGAAGGACATGTGCTCCGTCCGACTTCCTCCGTTGGTACCCTGCTATTTCCTCAGGCTGACTCACTGATGGAGAGAGGGGTGTGGGTAGCAGTGCCCAGGAAGATGACAAGGCACCTGTCAGGGATGTAGAAAGCGTCTGGAGGAGACGGTTAACCAGGGACCCACTGCCTACAAAGGGAGAAGAGGGGGCTGTAGGAGAGGATCTCCAGGTTGAAGGAACATAGTGGGACTGGGGACCCAGTCTTTATAAACTGCATTCCAGGGAGCTGGAAAACAAGAGCTTGTAGCAGAGGTTCTCAACCTGTAGGTCACCACCATGGAAAACCACCTATTTCTGATGGTGTTGGACTGAGACACCCCTCAGTAACAAAATTACAGTTATGAATAGCAGTAAAATAATTTTACGGTGGGGGGGGGCTGTCACTGCAACATGAGGAACTGTTTTAGAGGGTTGCAGCATCAGGAAGGCTGAGACCACCGCCTGGGTCTGTCAGCCAGGGCCCACCCCGCAGCAGCTCCCTCTCTCTAGACAAGTTCATGTGCAGATGAGTGACCACCCCAGGAGGTGTCCTGAATGCCATTGTGCTTCAGTGGGATCAAAAGCCGCTTCAGCAGGTCACATTAGCAACTCTGTGGCCTTGGAGCACACCAGGCCAGGGTGTGCTGACAAAGCCCCCACCACCACCCTTTACGGGAAAGAGTTGACAAGCACGTTCCCTTCAAGTGATCCTGGAGGTGTGAGGCCTCCAGCTCTGAGATCTTCCTGTGAGCCCTCCAGCTCTGAGATCTTCCTTCCCGCGCTGGAGTCTCTCTGTGAGCTGTCATGTGCTCTCTGGGAACTGAACACTTTGGAAGAGCAGACACCCGAGCCATCTCTCCAGCCCCTCAGGAGTCTCTCTGTTCCTGCTGTTTTTCCAAGATTTTCCCCTTTTCCTTTTTTCCTTATTTGGGGTGCACAAGCTGGTCCGTACTCTCCCTGCATAGAGGCGGGTCTGAGAGTGAGGCCTCTTTTGGGCATCGCGTCTCTAGATTGGTTTTGGTTTTTTGTTTGTTTGAGACAAGGTTTCTTTGTAGTCCAGGCTGTCCTGAAACTCACAGATCTTCCTGTCTCTGCCTCCAAAGTTGCTGAGGCTAAAGGCGTGTGCTACCGTGCTTGGCAGTTTTTGAGGCAATCTGCTTATGTCTCCAGCCTCAGACCCAAATCCTAACTGAACCTGGTGAACAAGTATGTTTCCTTGAACACTCCTTCAGTCTAGTCCCCTTCATGTGAACTTGGCTGGAGAGATAGGACTCTCAATAAGCAGAAACACGGCCGGGCAGTGGTGGCGCACGCCTTTAATCCCAGCACTTGGGAGGCAGAGGCAGGTGGAGGTGGATCTCTGTGAGTTCGAGACCAAGCCTGGTCTACCGAGCGAGTTCCAGGACAGGTAGTCTCACAATACAGAGAAACCCTGTCTCAAAGAACCAAAAAAAAAAAAAAAAAAAAAAAAAAGCAGAAACACAGTTCTCGGGGTCCCAAATGGTCTGCCATACTGGTGAGACTCCAAAGCATTCTTGGAGGTTCCAGGCTAAAAAGAACTTCAGATGAAAGTACAGGTGATCAGCAAAGTGCTTGCCTACTTTAAGTGAGGCTGGAGTTCTATCTCTCAAAGAAAAAACTCTGGTTTGGAGTTACACGGTGGCACATGCCTTTAATCCCCAGCACTCTGGAGGCAGGGGCAAGCAGATTTCTGTGAGTTTGAGCCTAGCCTGGTCTACATAGTTCTAGGCCAACCCGGGTTTTGTAGAGAGACCCTGTAAAATTGTATGGTGGTGCAGGCTTGTAATCCAGTACTTCCTTGACTGAGGCAGTAGGGTAGAGCTAGAGGTCAGACTGAACTACCTAATGAATTCTAGGCCAGCCTGGGCTACTCTCACAGGTTCCAGGGAGTAGGAGGTGAAAGAGAGAACTGTGTAGAATCAGGTTTGACTGATTCCCTCATGCATTCTAATGGAGATTGTCTTTGGGAGACTGGGGGACTAGGTACAGGCTGGATTATCCAGTGGTTAAGAAGGTAAAATAGAAAATGGGCTGTGATGGTGCATGCCTTAGGCTGGTAAGTCTCCGAGTTCGAGGCCAGCCTGGTCTACAGAGCGAGTTCTAGGACAGCCAGAGCTACACAAAGAAACCCTATCTCTAAAAAACAAACCAAATTTAAAAAGGAAAAATAGAGAGGGTGAAGAAATCACACTTTGGATAGAATCTCCTTTACCAAGCCTGGACCACACGTAAACATCCACAGCAGTCACTCTGCTTGCTTGGTGCCTTTGGTCAAATTGCCCCCCCCCCCTTTCTTCCAGTTAGATGACTTGGCAGTCTTGGTAAAGGTGAGGGACTGAGGGAAGTCCTAGGCTTGGACTTCACAGCTCACTGTAGTTGGAGGAAGTGAAAGGGGCCGGAAGACCCCTTTTCTGTGAGTGCCTGAGGTGAGTTGGGACTGGTTTATTGACAGCTTCCACTTACTGTCAAGGTAGGAAAGTTGGCCAGGTATTTAGGAAGGAGAGCTAGCATTTTGTTCCCCTTAGGCCAGCAATTTGCAAAGCACAGGTGTCTGATTTCAAGTTTGCTAATTCCAAAGTTTCTTAGCACTCTGAAGTCACAGAAACTGGTTCTGGGCAGCTGCTACTGGTCTGGCTGGCCACCATTGCATCTCACCAGCGCCTTAGCTGCAGACACGCCCTCGTGGCCCGCCCACTAGGCCAGAGCCCCAATCGCCCTCTCGCCTTGCGTAGAGGACTGACTCCCGCCTTTTGTGTCCGCAGGCTGCTGAACCGAATGTCCTCCGAAGATCGGCACCTGGGCTCCAGTTGCGGCTCCTTCATCAAGACGGAGCCATCCAGCCCATCCTCGGGCATTGATGCCCTCAGCCACCACAGTCCCAGCGGCTCCTCGGACGCCAGCGGTGGCTTTGGCATGGCCCTGGGCACCCACACCAACGGTCTAGATTCGCCACCTATGTTCACAGGTGCCGGGCTGGGAGGCACTCCGTGCCGCAAGAGCTACGAGGACTGTGCTAGTGGTATTGTGGACGACATCAAGTGCGAGTACATGATCAATGCCATCCCCAAGCGTCTGTGCCTGGTGTGCGGGGACATTGCCTCTGGCTACCACTATGGTGTCGCTTCCTGCGAGGCCTGCAAGGCGTTCTTCAAGAGAACCATCCAAGGTGCGTGCAAGGCCTGGGTTCAGGCTGTGGGTGGGGACTCTGGGCTGCAGGTCTAACATGGTTGATTTTCTTAAATTCAAATCTGGGTTCCCTGGGAGCAGAGGCTCTCCAAAGGACTCCGGTTTGGTGTCTCTCAGGGATTCTAGACAATTCTAACTGGAAGACTGTAGATACACCGTGCTCCTCCTTGCTGCACCCCTGAAACACCATGCCAGTACCTAATCCTGGCCTGCTGTCACCACCCATGTTTTCAGATGCTCATTCTGAAGGCTTATTTTTTGGGGGGTATAGATGTTAGCATCATTTCCCCCATTGTTCCAGACTTGGTGAAATGTAAAGGGTCTCTTTGTTTTTATCTTAATTGTGGAAAAGTAGGCCTGTCCTCATTCAGACCGGAACTGACCAGGATCCTGTTGACCTTAGGCTATTTTTCAATGTATTTGCATATCACTTGGGTCACATGCTGGTAGCCCTGGGGTAGTCACCTCTTTCATCTTGATTAAGGTGTTCAGGAGTCCTGCTGCTTCCCTCCTTGTAGGTAAGTAGGGGATAATGGTGGGCCTACCCTCATTGGGCAGTTTCATTTATGCCCCAGAGGGACTGGGAGTGGTTCTAACTGCATCAGATTTAGTGTAGGACACTTAATTTGCATCCAGTAGGTCCGGTTGTCTAATGATTGCCTCTGAAGCACCGCCTATGCAAGTAACTGTAAGGTGCCGATTCCCACCTGGACACACTGCCAGTCAGCAGGAGGAAACCCAGGGATTTTGCCTGTGTCTCCCAATCTGGTCCTGCTCCACCCCCCCCCCCTTCTGGTCCCGAGCAGACAAAGCTAGCTGGAGGCCTGAAGGTGGCCGGATGCTCTCATCAGCCTTGGCCATAAGTGTGTTTAGCCATTGAGCCTTCTTGCTGGCCCCTAGCTTAGTGTTTGCTGCTATTGACACTTGAGCAATTTCACTCACTGTCCACTTTGACAGTGACAACAAGTGTAATGTGCTTGATCATATTGGAAAAGCTTTTTAATCAGTATAGAATTAAATGAGGCCGGGCGTTGGTGGCGCACACCTTTAATCCCAGCACTCGGGAGGCAGAGGCAGGCGGATCTCTGTGAGTTCGAGACCAGCCTGGACTACCAAGCGAGTTCCAGGACAGCCTTCAAAGCCACAGAGAAACCCTGTCTTGAAAAACAAAAAAAACCAAAAACAAAAAACAAAAAAAACCAAAACAAAAAAAAAAAAAGAATTAAATGAGGTAGTGTGCTTACTTTGATCTCATAAAATTGAGAGTATTCAATTCTTTTTTTTTTTTTTTTTTGGTTTTTCGAGACAGGATTTCTCTGTGGCATTGGAGGCTGTCCTGGAACTGGCTCTGTAGACCAGGCTGGCCTCGAACTCACAGAGATCCGCCTGCCTCTGCCTCCCGAGTGCTGGGATTAAAGGCGTGCGCCACCAACGCCCGGCATATTCAATTCTTTTAGGGCCTCTGAGATTGCTCTGTGTAAACAGCCTGCCACTAAGCCAAATGACCTTTAAATCCCTGTAACCCACATGGTAGATAACTCCTGACCTCCACATGGGCACTGTGGCACTCAAGCCCATACTTGTGCACAGAAAATAGATACACTGTGATTAGCCTATTTTAGTTATGAATAATATGTATTTGGTATTTTGTGGCAAGGCCTTACTGTGTAGCCCAAAACCAGAGACAGCCACCTGCCTCTCTAGAGTACAGGGAATACAAGCAAAAAACTTGTCTCAAAAAAAACCAACAAAAAACAAATAAAAATCAGTTGAATAAACAGAATCGTACTAGGGAAACTCTATCAACTTCTTCCAAAGTGGTCGTGGGAGAATACTGGAACAGAACACCTTCTCGAAAAATAAAACCAACCCAGTAAATAAATAAATAAATGAAAGAAAGAAAACGGGATTTTAAAAGACAGCATTAAACTTTTGTCTCGAAAAATAAAACCAACCCAATAAGTAAATAAATAATTAAATGGAAGAAAGAAAATGGGATTTTAAAAGACAGCATTTTTTCCTTTTCTTGGTGTCTTTAAATGGAGCAGGAATGTTCTGGATCAGATTTTCTAGAGGCCGAGACTGGTGTGTACAGACCCAGAGCCCCTGCCACCCCCTCACCAGGTAGCTAGGAGCGTTCTTAGGGCAGGCCTGTAAACAGTATTAATTATGTGCTACCATGAAAAGGATACAGATCTCTTCCTAGAAGTGGGCTGAGAGCTGTGGCTCTTATCTCCAGGAGAGGTCTGAGCTCATTACCTGGTTGTTGGGAGAGTCTTCTCTCCAGAGCAGGACAAAGCTAGCTGGAGGCCTGAAGGTGGCCGGATGCTCTCCTTATTAACTCCTTGGTTCCAGCCTAACAAAGATTGCAATCGCTGTGTAGCCCTCGCAGGCTCGCCCGTCCTGTCTCTACCCCTCAAGTCCTGAGATGACAGGAATTTTCCACCATGGTTTTCATTGTTTCTAAGTGCTGTCAAACAGCACAAGAATGATGTGATCATTTAAGTTCCTGCTCTGTGTAAGGTGCACAGTGGAGACCGGAGAGGTGGGGTTAAAAATCATGTCTCCAAAATAGCTGGATTCATTGCCAAGTGCCCATGTGTCTGCAGGGTCTGCAGGCGAGGCAGTAAGGCTTCAGACCACACAGCTTTCTCCTAACCAGGGAGATTGGGCCATTTTCCTTTGTTCGCACAGTCAGGGAGGGTGTTTCCAGTACTGAGATGCTGTGTGGGCTCCTTCTGTTTAACTTTGAGACCGGTTTAGCCCAGAATTTGCTGTGTAGTCCAGGCTGGCCTTAGATTTATTGATTACTGGCCTTTGTCTCCTATGTGTTGGGATTAAAGCTGAGATTAAACTACTGTGTCAGACTGGAACTTAAGGGTTTCTTGAATGCAAGGCTAGGGTTCCACTGAGCTACACCTCAGCCAGGCCGTCTTTTAAAAGTCTGGTTTTGTGGCTGCGCTGAGTTGTGCAAGCCTTTGATTGAAGTCCTGGGGAGGCCAGCCTGGTCTACACAGAAAAGGTTTAAGTCTGTGGATTGATTCCCAAGTAAACTTTTGTAGGCTCTGAGTGCCATAGCTGTTCCAACTCTTTCATTCCTTCCTGACAGGAATGCTTGTCTGCTCGACCCCATGCGGAAGGAAGTTTGCAGATACCAGGGTGTCATGACAGACATTGGAGCTGGGACCTAGACAAACCTAGCATTTACTTGTTGTCTCTGGCTGCTCCTAGCATGTGACTGAACCAGGCCCACAAAGTCCCCAGACTTAATATCTGCTCCTTAGAAAGCAAGGCACAATCAGTTTCCCACCCAGCTTCTGCGGTTTAAAATCAACTCCAGGGGTGCAAGTGGAATGTCTACTCTGCCAAATGACAGACTCCTTCGTCAGTGGAGATTGTCTGCAGGGCTGGGGCTGTAGCAGAATTGCCCAGAATAGATGAGCTCAGAGATAGACTGAGGCACCTCACTGACGGACTTGCCGGCTCCGGCGAAGGGAAGGAGGCGGTCTGATTGAATTTATTAGCATATCTAAAGGAAGGCTTGTGACTATCCAGGAGGATTAGCCTGCTCTGGCAGCAGAGAGACTGGCAAAGGGAACCTGAGGCTAAGGACAGCATGGTGTGATTAAACCATTCAGCCTATCTGATTAATGTCTTTCTGATTGTGACCTAGTTTTCCTCTCAGTTAAGTTGTGAACTTGCTAGTTAGGTAGACTAGGTCATTCCTTAGGTTTTAGGCTTTTTTTTTTTTTTTTTTTTTTTTTTTTTGGTTTTTCGAGACAGGGTTTCTCTGTGGCTTTGGAGGCTGTCCTGGAACTCGCTTGGTAGTCCAGGCTGGTCTCGAACTCACAGAGATCCGCCTGCCTCTGCCTCCCGAGTGCTGGGATTAAAGGCGTGCGCCACCAACGCCCGGCAGGTTTTAGGCTTTCTTTGTGTATTACTATCTCAGGGGCTTCAGGCATTTGAGCTTGGGCAAAGGGTGTCTGCCCCCTCACAGACAGTACCTTTTGGTGGCTAGTGACATCTGACTTTTAAGGGGTCTTAGGGACGAGTGTCAGTTTCCAGGCTGTGGTACTGATTCCACCCTAATCAAAGCCAGCCATAGGTTTCCTGAGGAGAAACTCCATGTCTTGTCTACCTTGAGGACTCTTTGTAGTGGCTTCCACTCGCTGGGTGTGGGCCTGTCCTCCAAGAGCCTTCAGGCCTCAAAGGGAATCTCCTTAACCCTCAGCCTCTGGTCCTGCTTCCCTCCCTCCACTCAGCGTGCTAGTGTTTTCATCGTGTGGTAGTGATGCGGTTACCAGCGGACTTCCTAAATCTTCACCGGTCACCAGCCCTTAGACATCACCAGCTCTGTTAGCGCAGCTCTCATTCCCGCAGAAGACAGAGGGCTTGGAACTTCCTTTCCCTGGACCCAAGGCCCTTCGTAGCTCCCGCGTGCAGAAAGTTCAAAGAATCTGAGCATGGGACGGGCACCAAACAAAAATGAATGGTCCCTCATCTTCCCAGTAAGGACTAGCCAGAGAAGTCTGGCCAGTTTACATATATAAAGTTACTGACAGTATACTAATTTTAGTTTTATATGCATATTTTGAATCTCATGATGTAAAACAGTTATTTTTTTTAGACTGAACCTCAAACTTGTGGTAGTTCTCCTGCCTCAGCCTCCTGAGGGCTGGGGTTACTGGCATAAGTCACCATGTATGGACTTTTTTGTTGTTTTTAGTACTTTTTTATTTTTATTTATTTTTTGTTTTTTCAAGATGGGTTTCTTTGTGTAGCTTTGTAGACTAGGCTGGTCTCGAACTCACAGAGATTCTCCTGCCTCTGCCACCTGAGTGCTAGGACTAAAAGCGTGCGCCACGACCGCCTGGCTTTTGGTATTTCTATTATATTTGTTTATTGTTGTGTGTGCCAACATGGATTTTGAGCAGAGGTCAGAGGACAAACCTTAGAAGTCAGTCCTCTTAGTAGGTCCTG